CCCCAGCCCTCTCTGCCCTGGGTCCCTCCTTGCTTTTTGAGGCCCCAGAGTCAGTGCCAGGAGCTGGGGAGTGAGGGAAGTAGCAGAAGCGAAGTGGGGGTAAGGTGGCGGGCACTGGCCGCTTGTGGGAGACTGGAGGTCCGGGAGGCGTGGGTGGGCCCCTCTGGGTGGGGCGCCAGCTTTCCCTGAGTTGACCAACCCCCCCCCCAAAGGCCCCTCCATCCAACCCCTGCCTCCCAGGACCCGGTAGTTCCCCCTCCCCCACTGTCCTATCCAAGTGTGCCGAGAGTCTCCACTCTCCTTTAAGGCTTGCTGGTACCCGATGCAGCTGTCGCGTCAAAACGGGCACAGCACTCCACAGTTGGCACCCCCAGTGGCCTCTGTAGCTCTGACAAGGAGAAGCTGCTGTAGAAATAGGAAAAGCAGCTCGCCAAGCTTGGAGTCAGAAAAGGAACTCACATTTATAGTTCCGGCTGCCAGCCAGGCACTGTTAGACACTTCATAGGCATTGTTTTATTTAATCCTCATAACAAGTCCGAATTGGAATTAGTCTTCTTTAAGGACGGGGACATGGGTGCAGGGAGGTGAAGTCGGTGCCTTAGCCAGTCCATGGCTGGGCCCGGAGTCGCAGCCAAGTCTGTGGAATTCTCAATCCTACACGCTATCCTCTCAGAGAACTTGCGAGTCTGACGTGGGCCACTGACGTTTTTGAGCCTCAGTTCCCTCGCCTGTATAATTAGAAAATACTGCCACCTGACTTTGGAGATTAAATGAGCAAATACGAGAAAACACTGTGTAAACTGTAAAGTGCTTTTCAAATATTCTTGAGCGCAGCTTTTGTGTCACGCGTTGGATGTTGGGCAGTACTCAAAGGAATAAGGCCCAGTCTGTCGTCTAGACAGCTTTGGGGAAGGCAGTCATTACAAGTTGCTGGGTGGGCACTTACCCAGCTGGGGGAGGTTGGAGTTTCCCAAGAAGGATGAGTTGGTCTCCTGGGTGAATGCCCAGGACTTGCCAGAGCAGAGGCTGTAGGTGAGATGACGCTGGAGGGGTGGTGGGCCCAAATATCCTTCGGCGGAATTGGGACGTTATCCTAGAGGCTGGGGGAGCCGTCCGAGGATTCTGAGCAGGACTGATCTTATTTGCTTACAAATATACCACCGGCGGCAGCAGCAGGAGAGGGAGGCCGATGAGGGGGAGCTGTGGCAACGAGCACAGACGACGGGGCAGTGGGAGTAGGGGTAGAGAAAGGGGGACAGACTTGTGAAGATAAAAGGAAAACTAGACTCCCAAGTCTGATCTTAAGTACGAATTACCCTACTTAGCCACCTCCTTCAAAAAAACGCGGGATAAAGTGATTTTTTTTAATCCTGTAAATCAGCAGGGCCGTACTCCCAGAAGACATCCTGTCTGCTTCTCCTCACATCCCCGCGGAGATGCCTGCCACGCCCTGTGACCGAGCTCTGAGGACGCTGGAACCTAGTCTGCTCTACTGCTCTCTTGTTTCATGTGAGTCCTTTCCCTGGCAATTCCTCTGAATGTGTAACAGCACACACGGAATATAATCGGTACTGAATCTCCTTTGACTCAGTATCTAACAAGAGCACAGCCATGTTTCATGGAGTATTTGGAGAAAAAGGGCACTGGTGGTGACAACACTGCAGAGAGGCTTGAGAGGTGCCGAGCCACCACGCCCGGCCAGCTCTCCCCTAGAGGGCGCCCTAGCTCCCCCCTTCCGGAGCCGGCCAGTTAATCAGCGTGTGGCCGCTGTCAGTCCCCGGAGCACAACTGACTGGAACGCGGGGTCCAGAAGCTTCACTTAGAACTTCTTCCAGAGACCCAGAGTCTCCATCACCCTCACTTTTCTCAAGAATTATGTCCAGGACTCTTAGCACAAGCATGCCATTCCTCATACCACAGATATCATGCAAAAGACCACCTTAAAAGTGTTTCAAGGGGCCGGCCCGTGGCTTAGCGGGTAAGTGCGCGCTCTCCGCTGCTGGTGCCCCAGGCTCGGAATCCCGGGCGCGCACCGACGCACCGCTTCTCCGGCCATGCTGAGGCCGCGTCCCACATACAGCAACTAGAAGGATGTGCAGCTATGACATACAACTATCTACTGGGGCTTTGGGGGAAAAAATAAATTTAAAAAAAAAAAGTGTTTCAGTAAGTTAGTCTTCCAAAAAAATTAGCCAGGTGACCATACTGTTTGTGGCCAGCGTCCCTTTCCCTCCCGTAGTAAGTCAAACAAAACCCCTACTCTGGATTATTAGCCTGGCATTTGCTTCTGCTGGCCTTGGCAGCAAGGTGTTCAACAACGCTTTCTTTGTTTTCCAATATTCAGTGAGTTACAGGTGTAAAGAGATATCTGCTTGCATAATAAATATTTTTAATGTCACATGTGATTTTTAAACATTTTTTGTTGTTAAATCAAGTTAGTCTAAAGGCAGTAGGGGGTTTACTATTTAAAGGAGCCTTGAAGAGCTTTATTCTGGAAAACAATAAAATCTAGTGGGCGTGTGCCTGTTTGGGTTTGTCTGCCCTCACACTCAGTCTTTGCCCTTCCCCAACTCACTCTGTATAGAGGGGAAATAACCCATAAAGGTTGGTTTTCCAACTTCCTGGGTTTGCTGATTGCGTTTGGCCAGTGGGAGGCGCTGTGGGAGATTGGCGTGTAACAGCAAGCGAGAAACCAGCGTAGCATGTCTTACCTTCTTTCTCTGCCTTAAGTGGCTTCTTCAGAGTGGCCAGCTCTCCTCTGTGGACTGGCTTATTGGGGTTCCAGCTTTCACTGGACGACCTGCTCCCTCTAGTAACTTCACCTCCTCCCATTGCCTCTCAGTCGAGGGTGGTAGTGGCTGCCTGTGGTTGCAAATCTCTGGTTACTTCACTGTCCCCTGTTTGGCTCTTGATTCCTCCCCCACCTCTGTGACCAATTCCCTGCAGTGTAATCCCTGTGTTGTAAATCCTTGCACTACACTCCGGGGTTCCGATTTTCTCATTCTTCTGCAGAGGCCTAATTACAAGCCTAGGGAACTGCACGCAGCAGCTTTGATGTAATAAGTAGTTTAGTATAACTGTGTCCATGACCTCCTTGTCAAAGAGCAATGAGGTATGGTGACAAGAGGTATTGGCACCAGGTAAATCTGGGTTCAAATCCTGTCTAAGTCACTTGCATTCTGTGTGCCCTAGGGTAAGATATTATTATCAATATCACCATCATCTTTATTATTTAACACCAGTGGAATAATCTTCAGTACTCTTTAAAATGTGAGCAAACCAAACTTGGAGAGTTAGAAATCTAGTCTACGTCTGTACAGTTATATAAAGAGAAACAATTTTTCACTTTGTTTGACTCATAGAGGAAAAAATACAAGTTAGGACTGCATGTCCCTTGCTACTCTGTATTCACAGACAGAATTATATGCAGAATTTCTGCACCCTCAAAACCTTGTCCAAACCTACGGACATATCTATTTTCCAGTGTTTTCCCTTATTTTAACACAAAAGCACATTTAGAATATGAAATAATTTCTTGTTTAAATAATAAGAAATCATCCTCTTTGAAAAGAGTGGAAAGCAGAGATTTTTAACAGAGTGGGCAATTTTTTGGGTGCTTCAGGAAAGTTAGGGTTAAAAAGGGACAACGTGAGGTCAGGTGGCCCTCCTGCGTTTGAAGCTGATGTGTCCACCCCAGAAGGGGGCGGGGTGCCTCCCAGCTCCTCTTGGAGGGTTACTGCCAAGATGCCATAAGGGGCCTGAAGC